TGAAAGGAGGATGTTGCGTACGAACAATTCGAAAAATCTATCTGTGAAACAAAAGACTAGATAAGAATTTTTGATTCCTAGAATCTTGTGCAAATGAAAAAAATTAAATCGAAATCGGCTACCAAGTTGTTTATCTTTTTTATCAAAATAACACTAGTTTACAAATAATAACTTGTTAATATGTTTAATCAAATTATTATTTTTATGTTTATGTTAAATTTTTTGACTCTAATTTAAAGTTTATTTAAAATTTGAATTGTTGCTGAATTATTGCAAAATTATCACCTGATGGGTCTAAATGGGACTCGCATTTGGACTTCTTTTCTAAAAAATTAGGCAACATGAGTGACAAACAAGGCAAGATCTGAGGGGTTTTTGGAATGAAAATATGATTATTGTTAGACTGTTATAAAGAAAACTGATTTAAAAAAGTGACGTGGTGGACTTTTTTAAATATATTTTTTTGAAATTAGTGCCTCAAAAACTATAAGAAATTATAAGTTTCAGCTAAGGTATAATAAAAATCGTGTAACCTGTGTAATTGATAAAACAATTGACGCAGGAGGATGTTATTTTGAAAAATGAATCGTTTAGGTCCTTTGTAGGAATATTTCTGAATTGCTGTTGCGTTGAGTGGGGTGGTGATTTTGTCGCGTTTGTGCCCCTCGTGACCAACTAACTAGACCGACCATCCATCGCTTTGGAATTCATGAAAACGCGTCCAGATCGATACGAGCCGACATACGACGCAGTAACGAGACACAATGGGCATGTCCTAGTTAAATAGAGCGCACAGTGCGAGTGGGTATATCGGTGGGCGTCGTAAAAGGGGGTCACGACGCCACAGGGACGCCGGGCCGGCGTTGTCTCGCACCTGTCCCAATTTCCCTCCGCTTTTGTTTCTTTGGACGGCTCTTTTGGCCGACGTCTGGCGTGCTAATCTTCGGTGCTGCATTAAAGCAGACCTTGAGCTAATTTTAGACGAGGCGTCGCTCTGTAATATGATCGAGGAGCGTTGGCGGAACGACGCCCGCACGACGGCTGACTAACTTGGTGCTTGTTTTGTATGACTTCAGTCTAGACCAGTGGCAGCGAAATATACGGCCTCACATGCGAATTAATCACTCGCTTTATCGGTGTCAGCTGTTTACTGCAAAACGATTAAATTTGAAACTATTTCTCGACCGGTTCGAACCTTCGACACTAATTTTCTAATCGTGCCTGATACGTCAAAGAAATTTACGATGTCATTAGCGGAGTTTATAGGGCCATGTTCGATTTGAGGCCTTGTCGGATTAGAAAGTTTCGGTTTTTGATCGACGACCCTTGTACGTACTTCGTGCCATGACATGCTATATGGGGAGTTACCGACGACCCATATCGCTGCTAATCAGCTGATCACGTTCCATGCATCCATTGAATTTTTCACGATGTTTTTCTACACAGGGACGATAGGGGAAATACAAAACTCAAAACTATTGAAATAACCAGTGTTTCTTGAAAAAAAAATTTTAGGTAATTTTTTAGGTACACTTTTTTAAATTTCATTTTATTTCAATATTTTTTAAACACCACATTTTTGTTTGAACCATTTCCAAATTAAAAAAAAAACATTGAAATTGCTTTTATTTCTTAAACTTTGAAACAATTATTTTGACATTTTTTTGTTAATACATATTTTTTTAAGTTATTTTTCTGTAATATGGTCTTTTTTTTATTTTTGTA